ACGAGGTGGAAAACTTATAAAAGTGTCACATTTGACGGAAGGAACTTGATTGTTAATAATTAAATAAGTCAGAGATAAAAAAATTAAGTTATTAATGTTTCTTTACCAACGTTCAGGGCTTAAGGAAATGTTTCCTTGCTTCAATTAACATGACACCATACACCTGTGATCTACCTTCTTTACATTACTCGTTTCATTAACTCTTTCAGTTGTAGTCTCTAAACACACTACAATGCAAAAACTGTCAGAAATTTTCTTTCACCAAGAACTGATGACAAATTTTACGGCAGATATGATTTAAGGTATTAACAATTATACGACTATTTCATGCCACTGCTTGTGTATTTCTTTTGCTACTATCACCAAAGCATATAGTGATCCAAAAAGTTAAATACCAAGGGTAAATTTAATTTACACCTGGACTTAACAAAAACGTATTTATTCCCACTAGAACTGGTATAGGCATTTCACAAATTAATGGTTGAAAAAGTTGAAGCTGGTCTTTGAACTCAACTACAGTGAATCATAGTTGAAACTTTTACACAACCTTGAACTCAGTTATTGTGAATCAAAGTTGAACCTTTTACACAATCTTGCTTCCACTAACCGCTTGAAGCCTAACAACAAGTGTAGCTCATTGTAGCATCAAAATGCTACACAGACAATCTTCAATTTCCATTTCAAACTAATGACACAGTTACAAATATGTTGCATAGATGACAGCATCATAGCCTGGGCAATTTTAGAAACTCGGAATAAAATGTACACCTACTATAACATAAAGAGAATTCTAATCATCCTCTACCAGCTCTTTTCAAGCTCTGAGAATCATGGTGTCCATCTTGAAATCAGTTCTTTGGTTCTGCACTTTGCTCAGAAAATAAGGATTCAAGGGGTTAAACCACTCATGTTCTAAGTGAATAATTAACACTATTGGCCAATATCATGACCCAATCCCACAGCTACAGTACTGCCAATCATAGGGAAAATTATGTAACTAAGTAAACGATTACGAAAGAAAGATGACGTTCTAGGTGTTCTACTTTTCTACAAACACAGGAATCTGCTGCCAAATTCTGAATATATAAGAGATGCTGAAGATTTGAAAAACAAGCAAGTAACAAAATATAACATTTTTACAAACCAATGTACAAACAGATTTCCAAAACATGCTCCACAGTCATTCAATATCAACGAATTCAAATGATGGGATAGTTTTAATCTTATATAAAAATATGGCAAACAAAATACTATCCAATTCAGAAATTTAAGCATGCTAAAAATGATTTAAATGGCACATACGGATGACAAGTGTTGGCCTACTAATTTGCTCATTATGTACAAATACCATTCCAAGTGAAAACTATTCTGAGGTTCCCTACTTTAAAAATAAATAAATAAAAGTTCTCTCAAAAGAACTGTGTAAAGGCACAAGCCCTGACTACTCATATGACTTCAGATATTAACAAAATCAGAGCAGTACTGTACACATATGGTAACTATTCTTGCTAAAGAGAGTGAAACCATGGAACTACCACCAGAAGAAATAGTCCCAGAATTCAGAACACATATATATCAAATACAACATAATTCACAGTACTCTTAGGAGACCATGGTTTGGTCACAGCAAACTGTAAGGAACATTGTAGCACTCATGTAATTCTTTAAGAACAATGATTCTATGAAGATTCACTATGATCCGAAAAGATCAATACTAATACTATTGTTACAAATGAAATCAAGAATTTCTTTCTACAAGCAATGCAATTATTTTTTAACTTCAGCCTATCACTGTTTTAAATATTTAGTTCCATGGCCCCTCTATCTCGCACATTCAAGGTATGATTCTACATATTATATAATCTTTTCCTAACACCACTATGTGGTATTCAATTGTAAAAGCAGGATAAGTATCAGGGGTATCTGTTCCATCAACGATTAACAAGTGATGAAATCAGAACATTCATTCTGAATAAGAGCCAACTAACAGCTATGAGTAAAGTCAACATCATTCAGAAAGAGCAACTACCATAATATGACAATTTCACCTTTTAACCTTCTACAGATAGAGGTACTATATATATATATATCACAAATGTTTTATTTTCCAGTTGTGTACATCTGCACTGGGACGTGATTGCTGCCAAAAAACCATGTTCATCTTCAATGGCCTTCTGCATGTGCATGGCCTGACAGTATCCACAAAACATTTTTTTTTCATATAGAAAGCAGACAAAAATGGGTATATTAAGGACTGAGAAACATGGCTTATGCACTGTTCGTCAGAAAATCATTTACCAACCAACTTTTCTTTTCTCATTTTGTAAATGAACTGTTTCTTAAAATAAAAACATGACAAATTCCCCCCAATCTTATCAAGTTTCACAATTTACAACTGCATTAACTTTACCTTCTGCAAAAGTGAATAATATAAAACCATGCAAATAACAACAAATCAACTTTTCTAAAATGTAGCATCCATCAGAACTTTACTATGCTATCCTCTAACACAAGCAACAACAATAGCAAGCAAAGCAAACATAAAAGGCTTAAAACCTGTATAATCAGTAAAATTTCAGCATTAAAAACTTGTCCACAGGAAACAGCTCAATACAAGAAGAATCTCAGGACCCATAGAGATATTACATATTTATGTAAACCAGCAGTTTACATACAAAACTGGGCCACAATTGGATTCAATTAGCTTCATGAAGCAGGTCCTTCAAAAGCTGGCACTCACTCAGATGCTCAAGAAATTTTCCATCTCTCATGAACCTCAAAATTTCATTACTGTGTTCACAAAAGCCCACCACTGGACTGTAGTCACTTGAATCCAGTCCACATCCTCACATCCTGTTTCTTTACCATCTACTTTAATGCCATCTCCTCCACCTTCAATTTTAATATAATTATTATGCACATGTTCTAACAGCCTACTGGTGTACCAATATGAAGAGCTGGTGACTACACTTGAGATTTACTGTTGCCAACTAAAACCTTTATGTAAATAACAACCACACAACAAACACCAAAGAATAGTGTTTGCTAAATTCTTGTTATTTTGATGTTTTGCTATATATTCGCATGTTTTACTGACATTTGTGTGCATATTTCATTACAAATTTGAACTATTCACTATGAGGATCTGTCAAATTACACAACAAAATGGCATAAAAATCCACAAATATGATAAAAAAGAGTATCTTATGTTTACAATTGCTTGCCTTAGGTCAGAAATGCCATGTAATGGGTAAAATATCTCAAGAGGAATTCTGCTCATTTTTTCAAGACCACAGGCACCAAAACTATAAAACTTCATCACTTTCTCATGCAACTGGGAAAAAATTTTAATAAAAGCATCCAAAAGACTGTGATCTACCATCTGGGAAGTCCAACGAAGCATATAAGCACTATTTTATCAAACTAGAAATGAAATGAAACCCAACTTACCATTTCTTTTACTTCAGAGAGATTATTACTGACACAGACATTTGGTTTTCTTTTCATAAAACTGCACAGGAGATATCCCATGTATATATTTATGATGTAAATCACATGCCAAATTTCAAATAACATATATACACTAAACTATTACTGGGCAGTGCAGTCTGTTTTCTTCTCTTCTTCCTGTTTACTTTAAGTTTTTGGTTAGTGTTCTGCATATAGTTTACCACTGGTCAGTCGATGCTTTCCCATTTGATAGAAATGTTCCTTTTCAGATGAATTAAAGAAAGCAGAATATGGAACAAAATTATATGAATAGAAAACAATAAATATTGAAGATGACTAATATTTTTTAAATGACAATTCTTCACTTTTGTTTCCATGTAAAACAGCTACAATTTCTAAATAGTGACTGTAAGCCCTATCATCATGGTGTTCATTTTATCACATCTACATTAATTTTTCTCAGCAACCACAAGCTCTACAATTATGAAATCTGGCACACAGATAGCTGGGGGTTGGCTTTTCCTTTTACACTGATTTATCTGATAAACATGTTTTTAATACTCTTCTAAATAATCTTCTTGTAACGCATCTGAAGAAGATACATCTCCTCAATGGTTATTATATTCTCAGAACAAGAAAAATTTGAAGACAAGGCCAGGTTTGTGCTTTAGACAGGTTTTGCTGTATTCTAGAATTCATCTAGAAAAAATGGGGCAACCACAAAAGAAAAAAATAACCCAGTGAGGACAGATGGTGCTCCATTCTAAAATAATTTCAGGTAGTTCTCAAATACATGGGAGGTATAGTGCTGCTAATCTAACCTGAGAGGTATCTTTCATGGTAAGATCAAATGTACGAGTAATAAGGCACAATCAGTAACAATACAGAAAACAAGGACATCACATGTTGTAATTAAGATTCTCGTGGTGGTAAATATGAACAGTACGATATTCTTGTAGGGCTTGCTCTTCAACACTAATGACTGAGGTGATTCATTAAAAATAAATATATATATGGCAGACTTCTACTGAATGACAAGATGTTACAACTTAGATCACACTTTTCAAGGAAACGAGATAGTTTCTGTTCTTCTGATTTGTGAAGTTTAAAGCAGATTTTACAGTTTTCATGAAGTATACCTGGTAACAATTTCTCATACTACCCTAAGATTTGGGCTAGGCTATGAGCAGTAAGGGGGTTTAGGGTAAAGTAAAGGAAAATATACAAAATATATACTCTAAAAGTTAAAACTACAAAAATAAAAGTAGCCTCCAACTTAG